TTTGAGACAGAGAAATTTTTTTTTTTTTAATGGATTTTCACTCTGTTGCCCAGGCTGGAGTACAAACAGCACAATCGTGGCTCACTGCAACCTCTACCACCCAGGTTCAAGCAATTCTCCTGCCTCAGTCTCCTGAGTAGCTGGGATTACAGGAGTGCACCACCACACCTGGCTAATATTTGCATTTTCAGTAGCGACAGGGTTTCACCATGTTGGCCAGGCTGGTCTTGAACTTCTTACCTCAGGTGATCTGCATACCTTGGCCTCCCAAAGTGCTGGGATTACAGGCATGAGACACTGCCCCTAGCAGAAAGATTTCCTTTAAAAGACACAATGGGCAGAAGTCATAAGGAAAAGTTGATAAATTTCACATACAAAAAGAAGAAAAAGCTGGAAGAGGAGGGGCCACAGTTGCTCACGCCTGTAACCCCAGAACTTTGGAAGGCTAAAGTGGGAGGATTGCTTGAGGCCAGGAGTTTGAGACGAGCCTGGGCAACATAAAAAGACCCTGTCTCTACCAAAAAAAAAAAAAAAGAAAAGAAAAATTAATAAATTTGACAGCATCAAAAGGTACCATTCAGAGAGGGGAAGATTAACCACAAACAGAAGATGTATATAGCAAACATAACTGAAAGGAAGAACTGGAATTCAGAATATATGAATAGCTGTGATTCAAAAAGAATATCTAATAGAAAAATAAGCAAAAGAAATAAGTAACAACAGCCCAGAAGAAAAAGATAAATGGCCCATACATCTCATTAGTAATCAGCAGGTCTCTCAATACTTGACAGATCTACACAATGTGTCCAAGCATTCACCACTATTATACTGAAGAGCCTGAATTCAAACCCAGAATGTTAGGCTCCAGAGCTTGCTCTCAATTGTGATATCCAACTTCGTCCTACAACTCAAGTCTTGAAATATAATTTTTTTTTTTGAGACGGAGTTTCACTCTGGTTACCCAGGCTGGAGTGCAATGGCATGATCTCGGCTCACCACAACCTCCACCTCCTGGGTTCAGGCAATTCTCCTGCCTCAGCCTCCTGAGTAGCTGGGATTACAGGCACGAGCCACCATGCCCAGCTAATGTTTTGCATTTTTAGTAGAGACGGGGTTTCACCATGTTGACCAGGATGGTCTCGATCTCTTGACCTCGTGTTCCACCCGCCTTGGCCTCCCAAAGTGCTGGGATTACAGGTGTGGGCCACCACGCCCGGTGAAATATAATTTTTTTAAGTGAAGTCAGTGATGCAAATTTCAATAAAGGAGCAAATTTTGGACCGGTCTGAAAACTCGAAGGCTCGGTACAGTGGCTCATGCTTGTAGTCCCAGCACTTTGGAAGGCCAAGACAGAGGGGATTGCTTTAGCCCAGGAATTCAATACCAACCAGGACAATACAGTGAGACCCAGTCTCTACAAAAAATTAAAAATTAGTCAGCCATGGTGGCACATACCCGCAGTCCAAGCTACTCAGGAGGCTAAGTAGGGAAGATTGTTTGAGCTCAGGAGGTAGAGGCTACAGGAAGCCATCCACCACTGCACTCTAGCCTGGATGACAGAGCAAGAACCTGCCTAAAAAACAAATAAAAAGAAGAAAAAACCTCTGAGCCAAATGTTTGCTTTTATGGAGTAAAAAGGGGTAATTTTACAGCTGAATATTTGATTTGTAGTAAAAATACAACCACTACCTCAAAGTTAGTTGCACTGCATATTTCCGCTGAAACATCCACACTCATGTTCAGAGGAGTTTTCTTTCATTCCAACTGTGTGTATAGGCCACATGTGGTAGCTCATGCCTGCAATCCCAGTACTTTGGGAAGCCAATACAGAAGGATCATTTGAAACCAGAGTCCAAGACCAGCCTGGACAACATGGTGAAAACCCATCTCTACAAAAATTAGCTGGGTGTGGGCTTGCACTTGTGGTCCCAGCTACTCAAGAGACTGAGGTGAGAGGATTGCTTGAGCCCAGAAAGTCAAGGATGCAGGAAGCTGTGATTGTGCCACTGCACTCCAGTCTGGATGACAAGAGTGAGATCCTGTCTAAAAAGACAAAAAAAAAAAAAAATTTTATCTGTGAGATAGAAACAGTATCAGTTGTTTTATTTTACAGATAGAAAATAGAAGCAATTGGCAGCAAACCCCAGGACAGCATAAACTAAATTGATAACACCGGCTAGGTGCGGTGGCTCATGCCTGTAATCCTAGCACTTTGGGAGACCAAGGCGGGCAGATCACCTGAGGTCAGAAGTTCAAGACCAGCCTAGCCAAATGACGAAACCCCATCTCTACTAAAAATACAAAAACTAGCTAGACATGGTGGCTCACACCTGTAGTCCCAACTACTCAGGAGACTGAGACACGAGAATCACTTGAACCCGGGAGGCAGAGGTTGCAATGAACTGAGATCACACCACTGCACTCCAGTCTGGACAACAGAGTGAGACTCGGTCTCAATCAATCAATCAATCAATACCACCACCAACAGTCAATTATGAGAGTCTCTTAGAAGCACCATAGTATTAGAGATTATAGTCCACTCATAAAAGTGCTAATGCTGGATGTTGTAGTTATCCCTTAAGACCATGAACCCCATCTTTTCTGGATACTCTATAGCCTTGGTTTTTCATGTGTTTGTTTGCTTGCTTATTTATTTGAGACAGGGTCTCACTCTGTCACCCAGGCTAGAGTTCAGTGGCATGATCATGGCTCACTGCAGTCTCCACCTCACAGACTCAAGTAATCCCTCTACTTCAGTCTCCCAGATAGCTGGGACTACAGGCCCATGCAACCATGCCCAGATAACTTTTTGGTTTTTTTGTTTGCTTGTTTTGTAAAGATGGGGTTTTACCATGTTGCCTAGACTGGGCTCAAACTCCTGGGCTCAAGCAATCCTCCTGTCTTGGCTTCCCAAAGTGCTGGGATTACAAGCGTGAGCCAAAATGCCCGGCCTTCCGTAAGTTTAATGCTCAATGACTGACTCGCAGCACGGTCAGCATGTTGCTGATGCAGCTCTGCCCATCTGTGGTAAATGGCTGAACACTTACTTGAAGCAGCAGTGGTTCTGTACTCATTCATTCCTTCCTTCCTTCATTCCCCTACATTTGGACCTCATCTACTAAGTAACATTTATAAATCACTGAAGATACTTAGAGCTTATCTGAAGATGCTTATTTGCACACAAATCACTAGAGGTGGCAGGACGGCAAAACAAAAAGTGCACTGGCCAGGGATTGAAAACCCACTGGTTTTGAGAACTAGCTCTGCCAGCATCCAGGTTCTTTTCTGAATTTCAGCTTTCTTACCTGTTAGTGGTAATGAAAGTTGGGCACCCAAGGTAGATCAAACAGCATGAAAAGGCAGAGAATCAGAAAACCTTGAGAAGAGACAAAACTGGGGATGCATTTTACTTAGACCAGCCCAGATTCTTAAAGCTAGCTACCCATATGGCCACCTGAGAAAATTTTTTACTTACTCCACATTTGAGATTCTATTCATTTGTCTGGGAGAGGGCTTAAGTACTAGTATTCCAATACAATGATTTTCCAACTTTAGCAAGCATCAGAGTCAGCAGAAGAGCTTGTTAAAACACAGATAGGTCAGGCACAGTGGCTCACTGCCTGTAATCACAGTGCTTTGGGAAGCCGAGATGAAAGGATCATTCGAGGCCAGGAGTTTGAGACCAGTCTGGGCAACAAAACGAGGCCTTGTCTCTACAAAATATTTTTAAATTAGCTGGACGTAGTCGTGCACCTATAATCCTAACTAAGGCAGAGGATCACTTGAGCCCAGGCGTTTGAGGCTGCAGTGGTCTTTGATCATACCACTGCAGTCTAGCCTGGGAAACAGAGAGAGTCCCTGTCTCAAAAACAAACAAAAATCCACATAGATAGTTGGGCCCCACCCCCAGAGTTTCTGATTCAATAGGTCTGGGGCACTCCTAAGAACTGCAGGTCTAGCAAGTTCCCAGGTGATGCTGAGATGCTGATGTTGGAGATCTACTCACCTGGAGAACCACTCAAAGTGTGTGCAGAAAGGATTACTAGAAAATGCCAGAGGCCAAGCATGGTGGCTCACACGTGTAATCCCATCATTTTGAGAAGCTGAGTTGACAGGATGGTTTGAGGCCAGGAGTTAACCAGACCAGCTGCAGCAACATAGCAAGACCCTGTGGCTACAAGAGAAATGGAAGAATTAGCTGGGTATGGTGGCACAGTTCTGTAGTCCTAGCTGCACGGGACACTGAGGTGGAAGGACGGCCAGAGCCCAGGAGATGGAGGCTGCAGTCAGTTATGATCATCCCACTGCACTCCAGCCGGAAAAAAAAAAGCAAGACCCTGTTTCTGAAAAAGGAAGGGAAAGGGGAACGGGGAAGGCGGAAGGGGGAGAGGGGAAGGGGGGGAGGGGAGAGAAAGTAAAGAACCGAAAGGAAGAAGAGGGAAAACAGAAAGGAAAAGAAAAGGTGGGTGTGGTGGCTCACGCCTGTAACCCCAGCAAGGGGAGCGGATCACCTAAGGTCAGGAGTTCGAGAACAGCCTGGCCAATTAGGCGAAACCCCGTCTCCACTAAAAATACAAAAATTAGCCCCTTCTCTCCCGCGGTTAGTGCTGAGAGTGCAGAGTGTGTGCTCTGGGCTCGGAAAACACATTTATTATTTTAAAAATCAAAAAAGGTCTTTAAAAAAGTCTTTTCAAACCTCCGCCCGCCAAAAAAAATTTGCAAAACTCCTTATCTCCTACGCCAGAGATTTTTTTTCCCTTCCTCTTTTATAAAATAACCCGGTGAAGGCGCTGAGGCTGACCCGTCCGCCCGCGACCCCGAAGCAGCTCCAAGAAGGAACTCAACGGACTGAGAGCTTCCCGACACCCGGAGCCAACACCGCTATCCTCGCTCCCCACCGGGAACTCGAAGCCGGAAGCCGGAAGCCGGGAGCCGGGAGCCGGGAGCCGGAAGCCGGGAGCCGGGAGCCGGAAGCCGGAAGCCGGAAGCCGGAAGCCGGAAGCCGGGAGCCAGCAGCGGCGGATCACGACCGTTCTGTGGCGGTTGAGTAGCCTTCGATTCCGGTTGATTTTTGTCCCTCTGCGCTTGCGCTTGCCGCAACTCCACTCTCCGCTGCCTCCAGCCCTGGCACTCGCTGTCCTCCTGTGACGGGAAGGTCGTGGCCTGCGGCCCAGCTGCCAACCGTGCCGAGTTGAACTCCGGCGCCCCTCCGCTACCCCATGGCTTCGCTCTACGTGGGAGACCTCCACCCTGACGTGACCGAGGCGATACTCTATGAGAAGTTCGGCCCCGCCGGGCCCATCCTCTCCATCCGGGTCTGCAGGGACATGATCACTTGCCGCTCCTTGGGCTACGCATGTGTGAACTGCCAGCAGCCGGCGGACGCTGAGCCTGCTGCGAACGCCATGAATTTTGATGTTATAGAGGACGAACCAGTACGTATCCTGTGGGCTCAACATGATCCATCACTTCGAAAAAGTGGAGAGGGATACATATTCATTAAAAATCTGGACAGATCCATTGATAATAAAGCACTGTATGATACATTTTCTGCTTTTGGTAACATCCGATCATGTAAGGTGGTTTGTGATGAAAATTGTTCGAAGGACTATGGAATTGTACACTTTGAGGCACAGGAAGCAGCTGAAAGAGCCATTGAAAAAATGAACGGAATCCTCCTAAATGATCGCAAAGTATGTATTGGAAGACTTAAGTCTCTTAAAGAACGAGAAGCTGAACTTCAAGCTGTGGCAAAAGAGTTCACCAATGTTTACATCAGGAATTTTGGAGAAGACATGGATGATGAGCAGCTTAAGGATCTCTTTGGCAAGTTTGGGCTTCCCTTAAGTGTGAAAGTAGTGACTGATGAAAGTGGAAAATCCAAAGGATTTGGATTTGTAAGCTTTGAAAGGCATGAGGATGCACAGAAAGCTGTGGATGAGATGAATGGAAAGGACCTCAATGGAAAACTAATTTACGTTGGTCGAGCTCAGAAAAAAGTGGAACGGCAGATGGAACTTAAGTGCAAATTTGAACAGATGATGCAAGATAATACCACCAGATACCACAGTGTTCATCTTTATGTGGAAAATCTTGATGATTGTATTGATGATGAACGTCTCCAGAAAGAGTTTTCTCCTTTTGGTACAGTCACTAGTGCAAAGGTTATGATGGAGAGTGGTCTGAGCAAAGGGGTTGGTTTTGTTTGTTTCTCCTCACCAGAAGCAGCCACTAAAGCAGTTACAGAAATGAATGGTAGAATTGTGGCCACGAAGCCATTGTATGTAACTTTAGCTCAGCGCAAAGGGTTGCGCCAGGCTCACCTCACTAACCAGTATATGCAGAAAATGGCAAGTGTGCGAGCTGTGCCCAACCCTGTAATCATCCCCTACCAGCCAGCACCACCTTCAGGTTACTTCATGGCAGCTATCCCACAGACTCAGAACCATGCTGCATACTCTCCTCCTAGCCAAATTGCTCAACTAAGACCAAGTCCACGCTGGACTGCTCAGGGTGCCAGACTTCATCCATTCCAAAATATGCCAGGTACTATCGGCCCAGCTGCTTCTAGACCACCATTTAGTACTATGAGACCAGCTTCTTCACAGGTTCCACGAGTCATGTCAACACAGTATGTTGCTAACACATCAACACAGACAGTGGGTCCACGTCCTGCAGCTGCAGCTGCTGCAGCTACTCCTGGAGTTCGCAATCCTCAGCAACATCTTCATGCACAGCTACAGTTTACAATGCAGCAGCCTGCTGTTCATGTACAAGGTCAGGAACCTTTGATTGCTTCCATGTTGGTATCCCCCCCTCCCCCCAAGAGCAAAAGCAAATGTTGGGTGAATGGCTGTTTCCTCTTGTTCAAGCCATACACCCCACACTTGCTGGTAAAAATCACTGGCATGTTGTCAGAGATTGATGTTCAGAACTTCTTCCTATGTTTGAGTCTCCAGAGTAACTCTGTTTAAGGTTGATGAAGCTCTAGCTGTACTACAAGCCCACCAAGCTAAAGAGGCTGCCCAGAATGCAGTTAACAGTGCCACCGCTGTTCCAACTGTTTAAAATTGATCAGGGACCACGAAAAGAAACTTGTGCTTCACTGAAGAAAAATATCTAAACATTGAAAAATGTAAATATTATGGAAAAAATTGCAAATAAACAAAGGAAAGGAAACTTTGAACCTTATATGCCAAGCAGATGTCAGGTCTAGCAAACATAATGCTAGTCCCAGATTACTTATTGATTTAAACACACACACAAAATAGTAAAATATAAAAACAATGTTTATAGACCCTGGGGAAAAGAATTTTCAGTACAAAAAAGTACAAAAATTTAAAGCATTCTTTACTTTAATTGTGCAATTCTTTTTTTTTTATTGCATTTTAGGTTTTGGGGTACATGTGAAGAACATGCAAGATTGTTGCGCAGGTACGCACAGGTACACACGTGGCAGCGTGATTTGCTGCCTTCCTCCCCTTCACCTATGTCTGGCATTTCTCCCCATGCTATCTCTCCCCAACTCCCCACCCCCCGCTGTCCTTCCCTTATTTCCCCCCAACAGACCCCAGTGTGTGATGCTCCGCTCCCTGGGTCCATGTGTTCTCATTGTTCAACACCCACCTATGAGTAAGAACATGTGGTGTTTGATTTTCTGTTGTTGTGTGAGTTTGCTGAGAATGATGGTTTCCAGGTTCATCCATGTCCCTGCAAAGGACACGAACTCATCATTTTTGATGGCTGCATAATATATTCTATGGTGTATTCTGTTTTAAGTAACAATTGATAACTGAGCAAGGAAAAGTAATTTGGATTATAAAGTTCTTGCTGTAATAAAAATTCCTTAAACAGTGAAAAAATAATAAATAAAAATACAAAAATTAGCTGGATGCAGTAGCGCACACCTGTAATCCCAGCTATTTGGGAGACTGAGGCAAGAGCATCAGTTGAACCCAGGAGGCAGAGGTTGCAGTGAGCTGAGGTCATGTCACTGCACTCCAGCCTGGGTGACAGAGCAAGACTCCCGTCTCAAAAAAGAAGGAAAAAGAAAATGCCAGAAGGATATTTTAGTGCATATGCTTTTTTCTTTGCATTAAATGAGGAACATAATATCACCCTGAAATTCCACTCCATTTTGTTAACCATGTGCAGAGGATTTCGCTTTTAAAATACATGTGTTAAGGAACAGGCAACAGAGATTGTCCCTTAGGTGGGAAGCTGACGAGTAAACCAGACTTTTTCCCCTCCACTGTATACATTTGATGCTGCATTAATTTGCATCGTATGCATGTATCTCCTAATTAATTGTAAAGCCAACAAAACCTTCACTCAACTTAATGAATAACAAAAGTAATAGAGGGACCCTCTGACTTATATATGGCTATAATCTACTGCATAGATTGTGTTATCCCAATATACCTTGCACTATAGCCAGGAGTACATGTGATCATTTGTGATCATTTCAGCAGTTACAAAAGATTACAAAAAGGGGAGAAAGGAGGAAAGGAAGGAAGGGAAAGAGGGAAGAATAGAAAGGAAAGGAAAATATAGGCTGGTATATTGAAGTTGGTGCCAGCCGTGGTGGCTCACATCTGTAATCACAATTCCTTGGGAGGTCACGGTGGGTGGATCACTTGATCCCAGGAATTCTGAGACCAGCCTGGGCAATATGGAGAAACCCCATCTCAATGAAAAATACAAAAATTAGCCAGGCATAGTGGTGCACGCCTGCAGTCCCAGATATTCAGGAGGCTGAGGTGGGAGGATCACTTGAGCCCAAGAGGTTAAGGCTGCAGTGAGTTGTGATTGTGCCACCACACTCCAGCCTTTTGAAACAGCCAGAGCTTGTCTCAAAAATAGTGGCTCACACCTGTAATCCCAGCACTTTGGAGGCCAAGGCAGGCAGATCATTTGAGGTCGGGAGTTCAAGACCAGCCTGACCAACATGGCAAAACCCTGTTTCTACTAAAAATACAAAAAATTAGCTGAGAGTGGTGTCACGCGCCTGTAATCCCAACTACTCAGGAGGCTGACCCAGGAGAATCGCTTGAACCGGGGAGGTGGAGGTTGCAGTGAGCCAAGATTGTGCCACTGCACTCCAGCCTGGGCTACAGAGCAAAAGTCTGTCTCAATAATAATAATAAAATAAAGTTAGTGATTTGTGCTAAGCCAGTTTCTCTTTCAGGGAAAAATAACACATCAGAAAACTAAGTAAATATTATGATTAAAAGGAATGAAATAGAATTTAAGAAAAAGACATGAAGTCAAGGGTAAATTGCCAATTAATAACAATATTTTTAAATACTTTGTGGAAGGAGGTTCCATGTCATAAAGACTTAGAAAAAACAGAGAAGGAAAACAAGCCTATCACCTATATCTATCTAAATCTCTAGCCATATCTCTATCATCCATCTACCTATCTATATACCTATGGCAGATAGTATGTCTAGATTAAATATATAGACAGATTAAAATATTCATTTGAAGTCATCCTATACTAAATATCGTTTGATAGTTTTGGTTATAAAGTAGAAATACAGAAATGGAAGTCTTTTATTATATTATGCCATGGAAAGTGGATGACTCTCATTGTGCAAGTGCAGTCTGTGTCCGAAAGAGGGAGCAGTGAAATCACAGATAGCATCATTTCTGACTTTTTGCTTCTGATATTTGTTGACTTAAGAGCCAGAGGACAGCAGGGAACTGGGAAAGGAGAGTATCAGCATTTGGGTGAACAGATCTTTGGAGTGAGCGGTTGTCTCACACACTGCAGCTTTAGAAGCACTGAGCAGAACACCCAGCCACCAGCGCCCACCTGTGATTTTCTAAGTCCTTTCCTTTAACCTAAGAATTAAATACTTTTAAACATTCAGTCATTATCAGGATCATATCCTTGTTGCTAGAAGCTTTTTGTTTTTCTTCTTCTTTTTTTCCTTTTTTAAATAGAGACAGGGTTTCACCATGTTGGCCAGGCTGGTCTCAATCTCCTGACTTCAGGTGATCTGCCCACGTTGGCCTCCCAAAGTGCTGGGATTACAGGTGTGAGCCACCGTGCCCTGTCACTTTTCATTTTTTTAAATGAACTGGTTAGAATCTAAAATATGTTCATTGTTTAATGAAAAATGGGTTCATGTTCTTGACTTGGATTGCTAAATCAGAAACATAAAAAGTAGGATGTGTTGGCCGGTTGCAGTGGCTCACGCCTGCAATCCCAGCACTCTGGAAGGCCAAGGCAGGAGGATCACTTGATGTCAGGAGTTCGAGACCAACCTGGGTAACATAGTGAAACTCCATCTCTACTAAAAATATGCAACTTAGCCGGGCATGGTGGCAGGCACCTGTAATCCTAGCTATTCAGAAGGCTGAGGCAGAAGCATCTCTTGAACCCAGGAGGCAGAGTGTGCAGTGAGCCGAGATCACGCCACTGCACTCCAGTCTGGCAACAGAGTGAGACTCCATTTTAAATAAATAAATAAATAAATAAATAAATAGAAAAAGTAGGAAGTGTTTGTCAAAAGAGCCATGTTAAAATTTCTCAGAACTTCAATAACTTTAAATTCTTCTTGATATGAAAAGACAAGTATTACTACTTAGATTTTATTAAGTGATACATTCATGATACGTTTTATTAAATACTACATTCATGAGTTCCTCATGTAAATTTCACTTAAAGTTACTTAAATTTAATAAATACTACTTAAATAACCATTAAGGCCTGTGGGAGTCCAGTTACATTTTCACATTGGCATTGTCCTGCATGTTGGGTCTTATGTTGTTCTACCTTATACAGACAATTCAAGGAACAGAAGAGGCAGATGGCCAATAAACATGCAAACTTGTTCATCCTTTCTAGTAATCAGGGAAATTCACGTTAGAATAAAAAGGAGAGGCCATTTTATACTCATCATCTTGGCAAACATTTTAAAGTCAAATTTGAATTTGTAGGAAAATGGACACTTTTATGCATTACCACAGGAAGTTAAATTGGTAGAACCACTTCAGAGAGCAATTTAGTCCATATAATAAAGTGAATGATGCATGCTCTCTACAATCCAGCAATTTAACTCCCCTTCAGTTAAAAAGCTGGCTGCACATTAGATTCATTATTCCAGTGGGTTACTGTGGGGGATGTTCTTGTGTGAGACCCCCAAGAGGCATGGGTCTCACTATACGGTGAGCTTGATCCCAAATACAGTTTCCTACTGGAGGCAGTCGAACTACGGGGAGGAAGGAACTGAAAGATGGATGACCAGTTTCTAATATCAACCATGATATCGTTTGGGCCTAAACTATGCAGTTCTGCTAGACTAAGTGACTCCATACCAGCAACCAGTTTCTGCTTTTAACTTTTATGACTCTTTCTTTAAGAATAGCTTTGGCCGGGTGCGGTGGCTCAAGCCTGTAATCCCAGCACTTTGGGAGGCCGAGGCGGGTGGATCATGAGGTCGGAGATCAAGACCATCCTGGTCAACATGGTGAAACCCCATCTCTACTAAAAATACAAAAAATTAGCTGGGCATGGTGGCGCGTGCCTGTAATCCCAGCTACTCGGGAGGCTGAGGCAGGAGAATTGCCTGAACCCAGGAGGCGGAGGTTGCGGTGAGCCGAGATCGTGCCATTGCACTCCAGCCTGGGTAACAAGAGCGAAACTCCGTCTCAAAAAAAAAAAAAAAAAAGAATAGCTTTAACCTTTTCTGTACTTGCGTGACTGCCTTGTACCCTAGATAATGGTTTAACGACTTGTGACTTTCTGATATTGTTATCTAAACAGAGACCCCTTCTGGAAAAATAGAAAAAGTACACCACCTGGTCACTTTTATGAGCTGTGATCATAAACCCCCTGCACAACAAAATGTACTTGTGACTTTTTGATTTTGTAACTTTCTGTTCCCTTTTCTTGTTCTTCACATACTGTGAGGTTGATGTCGTTCACTTTGATCTTAAAATATATAATGAGACCCTGGACAAGAATAAGCTCGCTGTTTTAGGCGCGGCCTATACAGCCCTCCAGACCCCTGTGTTCTTACTGTCTCTCTTTATTTCTTTAAGCGCACGCTCTCTTCCAGGTTTTGGGACCCTCTTGCAGGTCGAGAGATCCCCAGCAGACATGCCGTCCCGACCCATCCCCGACATCTGGCGACCACGAAGGGACACCTGGACACGAGAGACCATAGCGACGCTCATCAACTAAGGAGTGAGGCTGCAGCAGTAAGTTTTTGAGTTGTTTTCTTAATCGTGTATATACAAGTGTTGATTTTCAACTTTTCCGTCTGGAGTAAAACATGGGGCAATTAGAGTCTAAGAAACATAAGTTGTTTGTAGATTTTATGATTAAGACTAGAGGTCGTAATGTGAAGTTTAGTCATGTACAGGAAGTTTTGCAAATTGTTCGTGAATTGTGTCCCTGGGTCCCTGAAGGTGAAAGTTTGGATGAAAAGGCTTGGGGACTTAATGGAAAAAAGATTAATCAATTTTGCCTTCAAGGTAATAATATACCTCAAACTGTTGTATTGACTGCTGTTTGGAGCAAGCTTCGCGAATGTGTTTGTCCTTCTGTTTCTCTCTTAGAAAATTTCACCACAGAAGCTTTGCCTCCGCATGATTGGGGCAGAGGAACTCGCAGCAGGGCCAAAGGCCCAGAGGCTAACAGCTCAGTTTTTTGTTTTTTGTTTGTTTGTTTGTTTGTTTGTTTTTTGAGACAGAGTTTTTGCTCTTGTTACCCAGGCTGGAGTGCAATGGCGCGATCTTGGCTCACCGCAACCTCCGCCTCCCGGGTTCAGGCAATTCTCCTGCCTCAGCCTCCTGAGTAGCTGGGATTACAGGCACACGCCACCATGCCCAGCTAATTTTTTTTGTATTTTTAGTAGAGACGGGGTTTCACCATGTTCACCAGGATGGTCTCGATCTCTTGACCTTGTGATCCACCTGCCTCGGCCTCCCAAAGTGCTGGGATTACAGGCTTGAGCCTCTACCGCGCCCGGCAACAGCTCAGTTTTAAACTGTCACTAAAAGCTTTTTTTTTTCCTTTCTCTGCCGACTGCAAGTCCCGCCCGCTCAGCGCTCAGCTTTCAGGAAAGCTACACCGTCTCCGGTGGCCAAATTTGCATCCAAAATACAATTTAAGAAAAGCTTTCTAACGCTCTGTAGCACAAGTGACTTGTTAGCTCCGTCATTAAAGTATGAGGCCTGCAACTGCAAGGTTGTTGGTTCAAGTCCTCAGTAAATCTAGTCTTTTAGAAAAATTAAACTTATGGTTTGGGCACCTCGTGGAATATTTACTCTAATTCCTGATAAGCCTATAGCGCAGCTTCTTGTCATACCTGTGAATACCTCTATAAGCAATCCCCTTTCCACTGAGACTCGAGGTTGCTCCGCTTTTGGATCCTCAAATCATGCTTATTGGGTGCAGTCTATTACTGCTTCTCGCCCTGAATTGACTATATGGATTGCTGGCAAGCCTTTTAAGGGTGTGCTAGATACTAGAGCTGATATCTCTGTTATTTCATCTAATCACTGGCCTTTACAGTGGCCTTCCTCCCCTTCTATGACTTCTTTACAAGGAATTGGAATGAGTAATAATCCTGAACAATCTACTAATTTAATAAAATGGACTGATGCTGAGGGACATGAGGGAAATTTTTGTCCTTATAGCCTTCCAGGACTCCCATTTAATTTGTGGGGTCGAGATGTTTTAGAAGCAATGGGAGCAAAACTTACTACTGGAAATTTTGCTTGGCAGATGATGAAAAGACAAGGTTACCAAGAAGGAAAAGGCTTAGGTAAAAATTTACAAGGAGTACCGGAGCCTATTTCTCCTTCTCCAAAACATGACAGACGAGATTTAGGGTATTTTTCCTAAGGGCCACTAATTCTCCCGATGCCCATGCTGGTCCTATTTGCTGGAAATCTGATTCCCCAGTTTGGGTAGAACAGTGGCCCTTGTCTAAAGAAAAGATTTCTGCCGCTCGAGAGTTGATTCGGGAACAACTAGAGGCAGGACATATCTGACCTACTCAAAGCCCTTGGAATTCTCCAATTTTTGTTGTCAAGAAAAAATCTGGCAAATGGAGACTTACAGGATTTAAGAAAAGTAAATAAAACTATGGAAATTATGGGACCTCTCCATCCAGGTTTGCCATCGCCTGTGGCAATACCTCAGAATTGGAAATTGATTGTTACTGATTTAAAGGACTGTTTCTTTACCATACCTCTTGCTCCACAAGATTGTAAAAGGTTTGCTTTCAGCATTCCATCTACTAACTATAAACGGCCTTGGGACAGATATGAATGGGTAGTGTTGCCTCAAGGCATGGCAAATAGTCCTACTCTCTGTTAAACCTTCGTTGCAAAAGCTATTTTTCCTGTCAGGCAACAGCATCCTAATATTATTCTTATTCATTACATGGATGATATATTAATTGCTGCTTCATCTGATGTTGTCTTACAGTCTGCCTTTGTGCAATTGCAGAATTGTTTAACTAATGCTGGGTTGGTAATTGCTCCTGAAAAAATTCAATCCACTGCTCCTTATCACTATTTAGGACGAATTACTGAGTCACAAAAGATATCTTATGAAACTCCAAAACTAGATACTTCTTCATTGAAAACTCTTAATGATTTCCAAAAGTTTTTGGGTGATATTAACTGGATTCGCCCTAGTTTAAAACTTACCACTGGTCAACTTAAGCCCCTGTCTGATATCTTAAAGGGTCCTTCTAAACCAGCCTCTCCTAGATCGTTATCGGATCCTGCTAAACAGGCTCTGCAACTTGTACATGAGGCCCTCCTTCAACAAAAATTGACCAGAATAAAAGACAATATGCCATGGTGTTACTGCATTCTTTGCACTGCCTACACCCCTACTAGAGTTTTTTGGCAACAAGGGATTTTGGAATGGATCCATCTTCCAGGCAGTCGTGGTAAAGTTCTTTCCCCTTACTTTGACCTGGTTGCTACATTGGTTGCTAAGGGCAGGCAACGTGCTTTAACACTGTTTGGCACTGACCCCTTGGAAATTGTCGTTCCACATACTAATGCCCAACAGCAGTGGCTGTGGCGGTTTCCTGACTCTTGGTAAATTGCTTTTGCAGGTTTTTCAGGATAAATTTTGTGTCATTATCCTGCTGATAAACTACTACAATTTTATTCACAGTGCTCTCTTACCTTTCCACAAACCTGCGTTAAATTGCCCTTGCCTTCTGCTTCTTTAGCCTTTGCTGATGGTTCCTTTTCTGGGGTTGCAGCCGGAACGGTCAACACACAGCCATTTTCCTTTCAGGCAAATGAACATTCGGCACAGCGTGTGGAGTTACTGGCAGTCCAGCATGTTTTAGAAAATTGGGATACGCCTTTAAATATCTATTCTGACAGTCAGTATGTGGTTAATTTGACACAAAATTTAGAAACTGCTCCTCTTTCCTTTTCAGACTCCTCTCCAATAATTCATCTCCTCCTTCCCTTGCAGCAAGCGGTACGAAAACGTTTCCATCCTTTCTTTATAGGACATAGCAGGGCTCACTCTACCCTGCCTGGTCCCCTGACTGAGGGTAATTCATGTGCTGATCAACTTACTCAACATGTTTTCCCTATCCAACAAGCTGAGGCCTCTCATGCGCTGCATCACCAAAGCGCACGCAGCTTTCGTTTGCAATTTAAGATAACCAGAGAGCAGGCTCGACAAATTGTTAAAACCTGTATGGCCTGTTTGCCTCATCTGCCTGTTACCCAACATCAGGGGGTTAATCCTCGGGGCTTGCAGGTGGGCCATATTTATCAAATGGATGTCACTCATTTTGCACCCTTTGGTAAATTACAATATGTACATGTTACCATTGACACCTATTCTCATTTTGTTGTGGCCTCTGCTCATACAGGTGAAGCTGTGAAGGATGTTATTTCTCACTGTTTACAAGTTTTCTCGATTATAGGACCCCCCCAAGATTTTAAAGACTGATAATGGCCCCACCTATACCAGCAAAGGTTTTGCTAACTTTTGTTCTCAGTTTCAGATTTGTCATCGCACTGGCATTCCCTTTAATCCTCAGGGTCGGGGTGTTGTGGAACACTCCCACGCTGTCCTCAAAACTCTACTACACAAACTCAAACATGGTAGTACCCTTGACTTTATTCATAAGACGCCCCACAACTGGTTGTGTCATGCCTTATATGTCCTAAATTTCTTAACTTTGGATGCCAGTGGCTTCGCCGCCGCTGACCGTTTCTGGCACCCCCAGGATAAGGCTACGGCTGAGGTCTTGTGGAAGGATCCTTTATCTAACCAATGGCATGGACCAGATCCAGTCCTCATCTGAGGACTAGGACATGTTTGTGTTTTTCCCAGGTCTGCTGCCTTGCCAGTTTGGGTGCCCAAACGTCTTGTCAAGCATGGACCAGTTCGACAGCAGAGCAAACGCCCTAATTCCTTGATTTCGTCGCCAGATGCTGACACCGCCACCCCCTCGGAGACGCCGCCGCCTGCAACGGACACAGCAAGTGTGCACACCGTTCCACGGCAGTGCCCTGCCAACCTGGTCTCAACTTCGCCGTCTGACTGCCGAAGCCACCCAGCTTCTTCTTGAACAAGGACACTCCCTTTCCCCTGCAGTCATGTTTATCGCCATGATGGCCATATTGTCCTGCCAGGTTTCCCCCTCCCATGCTCACTCTGCTGATTCTTCTCAAGTTCTCTGGGCTTATGTCCCTGACCCCTCATCCTCCATCCTGTTACCTGGACTGACCCTGCTTTTCTTGTTTATTTGAATGATACTTCTCTTTTTGGCTTCTCCTCCTCCACTCATATTACCCCTCAAACTGCCAGTTATTCTTATTTTGCCCAAGCTGCTTCTCCCGCTATGTGTTTTTATGCGTCGAAAATATGGGACCAACTTGCTCTCAGTAATCGCATTCCCCTCTTACCTATTCTCCCCTCTACCAATGGTCCTTTTTGCTTTGAATTAGGAATGAAGCATCTCACCACATTTGAGGACCCTTCTGCCCTCCTTAAGGGCGAAGCCTCTTTCTATACTAGGGACTGGCTTCTCACCTATCTTGGTATCAAAGAATCGTGGAATTCTTCCTCTCCTGATTTCCCGTCTGTTCCCCGCTCTCGCTGCCATGTTGTTAACTCCTCTCTTGACCCCTCTCCCCGCTGGAAACTCTGCTACCCTAAACAATGCACTGCCCTTACCTAAACTCTTTCTACTGGTTTCACTCTTTATGGTTGGTCTCTCCCCGCGCCACTCTCCACCTCCTTTGACCGGTACCAGTCCCCTGGCGGCTGGGCCACTCCTATTTTTTCTACCTCTTCTGGCCGCACCTACATGTCTCTCTGGCGTCTTTTTACTGCTCTTACCCCTAGTTATTGGCAGGCTGGTACCCGCGGTGTTTCTTACCCCTCTCACTCCCAACATTTTGTCCAAGCCTGTGTTGCTTATCCCTACATCTTACTTTATGGTCATGTTAACATTTCCGTGTCTTCTGGTCACTACCATATTTCTTGCCCTTCTTGCACTCTTAACTGCATTGATTCTTCTATTTTTCCTACTCATACTATTCTCGTCGTTCATCAACCCCCTTATGTTATGCTTCCTGTTAATGTTTCTGGCCCCTGGTATGATGAATATAGCCTGCAAATTTTACATGACATCCGCGATTTAATTGTCCACCCCAAACGTTTTCTGGGTATTCTTATTGCTAGTATTCTGACTATTGTTAGTATTGTGGCCACCGCTGCCAGGGCCGCTGTAAGTTTAGCTCACAGTGTTCAAGCTGCCACATATGTTAACCATCTAGCCCACAATGTTTCTGTTTCTGTGGGTACTCAAATTGATATTGATTCTAAATTGGAGGCTAAGCTTAATGCTTTAGAACAAACTGTTACTGTTCTGGGTGACGAGGTTCATAATCTTCAGTCTCGTCCCCGTTTCCGTTGTCATGCTGATTATAATTCCATTTGTGTTACTAGTGCCCCTTATAATGACTCAGAATGGGACTGGCCTCTTGTCCGTGCCCATCTACAAGGCATTTGGAGTCACAACAATCTGTCTTTGGACATTTTTTGCTTACAGTGTCAAATCCATGCTGTTGATTTTTCTCGCAGACAGCTGCCTCAGGATGCCACTATTGCCCGCAACATTGTGAAGACTTTGTCCTCTTGGACTCCTGGTTTTCATTCACCTTCCCTTTCTACCTTAATTGGAATTGGAGGTTTTCTCCTTGTACTCATCATTCTCTTGCTGTTCCTCTTTTGCCTTGTGTTCGCCTCCCTCCAGCACCTTCAGCTCAAACTTTTTGAGCTGCATTTAAAAACAAAAAAGAGGGAATTTGTGGGGGACATTCCCGTGTGAGACCCCCAAAAGGCGTGGGTCTCACTATACGGTGAGCTTGATCCCAAACAGTTTCCTACTGGAGGCAATCAAGCTATGGAAAAAAAGGAACTGAAAGATGGATGATCAGTTTCCAATATCAACCACAATATTGTTTGGGCCTAAACTATGCAGTTCTGCTAGACTAAGTGACTCCATACCAGCAACCAGTTTCTGCTTTTAACTGTTATGACTCTTTCTTAAGAATAGCTTTAACCTTTTCTTTACTTGCATGACTGCCTTATACCCTAGATAATGGTTTAACAACTTGAGACTTTCTGATATTGTTATCTAAACAGAGATCCCTTCTGGAAAAATAGAAAAAGTACACCACCTGGTCACTTTTATGAGCTGTGATCATAAACCCCCTGCACAACAAAATGTACTTGTGACTTTTTGATTTTGTAACTTTCTGTTCCCTTTTATTGTTCTTCGCATACTGTGAGGATGATGTCATTTACTTTGATCTTAAAATATACAATGAGACCCTCGACAAGAATAAACTCGCTGTTTTAGGCACGGCCTATACAGCTCTCCAGACCCCCGCGTTCTTTCTGTCTCCTTTATTTCTTTAAGCGCACGCTCTCTTCCAGGTTTTGGGACCCTCTTGCAGGTCGAGAGATCCCCGGCAGATGTGCCGTCCCAGCCCGTCCCCGACAGGTTACCAACCCATTGCCCTGTTAAGAAAATCTTTTTGTTTCTTTTGAGGCAGGGTCTTGTGCTGTTGCCCAGGCTGGAGTACAGTGGAATGATCAAGACCCACTACAGCGTTGACCTCCTGAGCTCAAGTGATCTTTCCACTTCAAGTTCCTGAATAGCTAAGACTGCAGGCGCATGCCACTATGCCCAGTTAGTTTTTAAATTTTTTGTAGAGATGAGATCTCGCTATGTTTCCCAGGCTGGCCTTGAACTCCTGGGCTTAAGTGATATTTCCATCTTGGCCTCTCAAAGCGCTGGGATTGCAGGTGTGAGCCACTGTGCCCAGCCCCATGAGAAATTCTTGCACATGTACATAAGAAAACATTCAAAAATTTTCATAACATTGCTTATAACAAAAAAATGGAAATAACATAATGTCCATCAACAGAAGTACAGAGAAATAAAATGTTGTATAGTCATTCAATAGAAAACTAATAAAACTGTAGACAACACTGGCACATGCAGCATGATTGAATCTCCCAAATACAGTTTTGAGAAGTAATAGGCAAAGAACACATACAGTGGAATTCTACATAGCAATTAAAATGAATAAACTAAACCTATAAATAAATCCTGCCCTAGTTTTCTACAGCTTCTATTAAAAAAGTTACTAGGCCAGGCACGGTGGCTCATGCCCGTAAGTAATCCCAGCACTTTGGGAGGCCAAGGAGGGTGGATCACCTGAGGTCAGGAGTTCGAGACCAGCCTGGCCAACATGGCAAAACTCCCATCTCTACTAAAAATACAAAAATTAGCTGGGCGTGGTGGCGGGTGCCTATAATCCCAGCTATTCAGGAGGCTAAGGCAGGAGAATCGTTTGAACCTGGGAGGTGGAGGTTGCAGTGAGCCAAAATGGCACCATTGCACTCCAGCTTAGGCGACAGAGTGAGACTGTCTCAAAATAAGTAAACAAATGACAAAGATAAAGGGATAAGAATGTATCAACCTAACTTGCTCTTGCCTTAGAGAACAAAGAAACAGGAAAAGTAAGTCAAATCTACTCCTTTGCATTTCTTTTTAAATCAAGTCTAATTTCATGTATTCCCCTTTTGCTTTTTTAAAATTTTCTTCATTTGTATTCAAAGATAAATACAGGTCATATATAAGTAAGTATGTATGTAACATATTTAAATTACAATCCATAAAACTATAATTATCATCTACAAACTAATTGCCCGATGAATAATTTTTGCGTAGGGAAGGCAAAACTTTATTTTCATCCTCTTACTGTTTCTGGCTGGACCTTAGAATTGAATTGACATAGATTTACAGGAGAAATGCATATGGAATTTTACACGTACTTGGGAATCCCCATAGAAAAATAAAAACCCAAAGGAGTAGCAAAACCTAAGTGCTTACATTCTTGATTGAACAAAGAGAGACAATTGTGGAAAAGTACCTACCATATACGAGAAGACCAAAGGAAGATGATGGTTACTTTAACATCATGTTTGTGTAGATTTCTCTTGGCCTAGACTCCCCATCTCTTGGTGATATTTTCATCTCCTTTCAGGAAAAAAATGGGAGGTGAGAGTGTCCTCCAAGCACCTGCTTTTTTCCAAGAGCCTCTCCCTCAAGGTAACCTGTAGGCCAGAGTAGCATATTTTGGGACAGCATAGACTGCATCTGCCAATCTGTTTCTCTTTTTTCTGACACTTGCTTCCTCTTTTCAGAAGTAAGCACTATTCTGAATTTTATCATTTTGCTGTCTTAAAAAAAATTTTTTTAGGCTGGCACTATGGCTCGTGCCTATAATCCCAGCACTTCAGGAAGCCAATGTGGATGGATCACCTGAGGTCAGGAGTTCGAGACCGGCCTGATCAACATGGTGAAACCCCGTCTCTACTAAATACAAAAAATTAGCCAGGTGTGATGGCAGACACCTTTAATCCCAGCTACTTGTGAGGCTGAGACAAAGAATCGCTTCAACCCACAAGGCGGTGGTTTCAGTGAGCCGGGATTGCACCATTGCATTCCAGCCTGGGAAACAAGAGAGAAACTCCATCTCAAAAAAAAGATTTTTTTGACGTATGTATGTCTAAGCATATATTGTTGATTTTACATTTTTGGAGCTTTTTGGTTTTTTTGGGGGGAGGGGTTGGAGACAGAGTGTTGCTCTCCTGTCCAGGTGGACAATCTCAACTCACTGCAACCTCCACCTCCAGGGTTCAAGTGATTCTCCTGCCTCAGCCTCCCAAGTAGCTGGGATGACAGGTATGCACAACCATACCTGGCTAATTTTTTGTATTTTATCATAGATTTTATATTTTATGATAGATCTGCCCACCTTGGCCTCCCAAAGTGCTAGAATTATGGTGTAAGCCACCACGGCTGGCCATGTTTTTGAGCTTTCTAAGGATGGTTTCAGGAAATACTATGAAGGTCAGAGGTCAGGTCATAGTCTTTTCTAACTTGCATGGTTGGTTTTTTTTTTTTCTTTTTTTTTTTTTTTTTTTCTTTTTCTTTTTTTTGGTGGGGATGTTGGCTAATTTTTGTATTTTTGTAGAGACAGGGTTTCACCATATTGGCCAGGCTGGTCTCGAACTCCTGACCTCAGGTGACCCACCTGCCTCGACCTCCCAAAGTGCTGAGATTACAGATATGAGCCCCCACACCCAGCTGTTAATTTGTTTTTCACTGCAATATTTAATTGCATTATGTGAACAGATTAAAATGTATTTTTGCTGTCTCCTGACAAGGGGTATTTGGCTTGTTTCTAGTCTGGGGCTGGTACAAACAGGGATGCTGAGTATGTTCTTGACCATGATAATCCTGGGCAGAAGTTTTTCTTGACAGTGGTCTTCATGCTGGGCCACAAGAACCTCAGTGGCTGTCATCACAGAGAATTTTAAGGAAATCAATTTTCAGATTCTCAGTTTCCACATACACGCTTGTCTAAAGTCATTTGCCTAAAGCACATGCCAATGCTGGAAGCTCAGGCTCACCTTTACCACTGAGCTTTTCACAGTCACCTTTCAGCCAAATGTGCACTGCCGTCCATCCAGAATCTTCTTCCAGTGCCTGGGCCACCAGTGTAAAAACCTCTGCCAAAAAAGTAGGCAACTGGAAGTACCAGTGCCAGGGTTGAGAACATAGATACTCTATTGACTGGGGGTCCAAGTTGGTTGTCCGTTGCCAGACTATTAAGTTATCCTATTACAGGGTTGGCATACAATTGATTCATAATGAATTCAAAGAATGGAAAGCCATTCCATTCCCCTTACACTTTTTTTGGTAAAAAAGATTTTTCAGTTCTTAATGCTTGTCAAAAGCAAAAGAAAAATAGAATCACTGCTAAACTCTATTGTATTTTAGAAATAAGTAAAAATTATCTAAAGACGGCTGAGTGCAGCAGCACACTGACACCCAGGCTGGAGTGCAGAGGTGCAATTATGGCTCACTATAGCCTTGACCTCCCAGCCTCAAGTGATCTTCCCACCTTAGCCTCCTGAGTAGCTGATACTACAGATGTGCACCACCATGCCCAGCTAATTTTTTAATTTTTTGTAGAGACAGAATCTCACCATGTTGCCCAGGCTGGTCTCAAACTCCTGGGCTCAAGCCGTCCACCAGCC